TGAAGGAATTGAAAACATGGATTAATCACCAGTGTTATTTACTGCATTACTAATGACATGCTTTAGGTAACGCTAAATGAATGTTCAGGAATTGTATTACAAATAAAATAAACATTTGAGAAAAAAAGTTTTTTTTTAATCAAATTGAGGGCTTTCAGCAACATATTTTCACCAGGACAGCCTGGGTCCTGATGAAACCTCTGGATTCAGAATGCGAGCTGACTGCTTCCTTACACTGGGCCTCAAACCTGTACCTGGGAATGGTGAACTTGTGCAACTTTTTGATTATCACCCTGTAAACCATTTGCATTGAAGTGGGGCACAACCTCCAAGCATGTTGTCTCTCAGAAACCAAAGTGCATTGTTTTGGAATCCCTCCTTGTGTATAAATGTAAACGATCCCATGGCACTTATAAAAAAAAAAGTCGGACATCCCATCTGAAGGCCACATTTGTCAAAGTACAAACTGTGAGTCCCTTGCGCTAAGCTTTTTCACACTGATGTTCATACCACACCACACCAGGCTGTCTGTATCTTATTACCATGTGCTTTTATACGAAATGTAAATCACATATTTTTTGTAGATTAGCATTTTTTTCCTGTACTCTATACTACAACTAATAACAGCAGAAGTGCAATGTGCTCTACACTACAACTAATAACAGCAGAGGTGCAAGGTTTCAAGTGAACCTATTACAGTACTGTACGTACAACTCATAGTATATTAATTGAAGAATCAGTGGTCTCAATAATTGATATTAATTGATGATTCGATGTATTGTTATACCTCTGACAACACTGTCAAACCACCAGCAGTGATAAATCACCACAGCACTGCACTCAAAGAATAACTCTTGCCTTTCAGTTGGTCTGAGCGAAAACAATGCAAAGCACATGCTAAGGACAGCACCCGATCGTGAAAACTGTTTACATGTTGAGGTTCTCAAATTATATGACTCTTCCGCATCAAGTCTGAGCTGACTTCATCAATATATTTACGTGTGGAATAAGGATGTCTTTAGAATGTTTGGGTTAATCAATCAAATAAGATTCGGATCTGAACATGTTTTTGCTTCGGATTCGAAAAGTGTCATGATAACATGATATGACGTCAATTCTCCGTGTTAGGGAAATGATGTTACTGTGACATCACTTTTTTTCTAAAACCTGGAAGACATTCGCACGTGTGAAAGTGTCTGTATGTAACCATGAGAGCTGCATGCCACTGCCTGAAAACCACCCAGCAGCCAGCCTTGTTGGCACATGTCTTTGATCCAGGGCTCATGGAGGCTAGATTTGGTGGCTCAAACAGAGATTGTGAAACTCCCGCACCTGCTGAGCTGTAAAGTGGTGGCCATGAGATAATAGTCCAAGTAAGCAGGGTGGGTTAATGAACTCGACTGTGTGGACCATTGGGTGTTATCCTCCTCTATGCAAAGTGACTTTTCTCCAAGTGCTTCAGATCAAACATCTCAACGCAGGGCAGCACCTGAAATGGTCTTTGTCCTCAGTGAGGCATTCCTGGCTGTTATAATTACGTACAAAAATAAATCAATAGTAAATGGATATAAACATGATTACATGTAATGAACATAATGAAATAAAAAAATCTAAAACTGCAGAAGTATGGTTTAGGATTATTCACATTAAAGACTAATTAATAACAAATCAAAATGTATAAACATGAAATGCTTTTTAATAAAGATAAATATAATTTAAAATATTAAAAGTCAATGCTTACATTGTATGACTGTATAGCGATTAAAATTGAAAATGATGACAATAAAATAATTACAGTTTCATGGGGTTAAAAAAAATCACGTAAATAAACTTTTTTCCCTGAAAAAAATGGTCCTAAAACATCCAAAAGTCTGGCAATCTTAATCCGAAACCCAATCCTGGCGAGGAATTGTGAACAGAAAGTGGACCGGGTTGGTGGTGGTGGTGCGGGTGTGAACGATTGGGGCGAGAGGAGTGCAGGTCCCGTGGGGATGATCGTGAGGGGTGTTGTTTTCGGGTGGTTGGGGGGGGGGGTGTTGGGGGAGGAGGTTGGGAGGTGTTGGGTGGGCGAGGGGGGTGTGCCCGAAGTTGGGGTGAAAGAGAGGCGAGGGATGGGGAAAAGTTTGGTGGCGGTATCGGTGAGTAGAAGCCCTGTGCAAGAACAATAAAACCAACTTGCATCCCATCTATGGAGATGAGCCGCTCTAAAAAAGGACACAGAACACGCAGCACGCTTCACAATGGAACACGAAAAGGCACAAAGACATGTAACTTAAACTTGATTTGAAGCTTTCGTGACTGCAGGAATTACTCTTTGGTTCTTTCGGTAAAGCCCTACTTCTGTATTATGTATGTGTAGTTTGTTGTCCTTTACCCCCCCCCCCCCCCCCCCCACCTATGATTATCACGGTTGGCTACGTACGGTACGAAACAGAGTCGCAACGTAGCAATTCCGTTGTATTTTCGTCCGTTTAAACCGCGAGAGAAATGTGAGCTGCCCGCAGCACGTGGAGCGAATCGTTGGGACATCGTGCCGAGTAAGCGCGCAGTAACAACCCGCAAACGCATCTGAGAAGCTATACTTGGCCTCAAGACTCCCAGCTTTAATTGCAGCTGGGAACGCCAATTGTGCTTTGCAGTTCTTTTACGAGGACGACCACAGCCCCAAACAGTCGGCAGTAGTGGATGTTGCACAGGACATTGCAGGGAGGGAATGTGCAAACTCGCAAGAGCAAAACCGGTGAATACTAAGTAACATTGCAGCGCTTTGCACAAGGCCATATTCACACAATGTGCTCGTATGTAGAAGTGACAAAGTAACTTTTGAGCTAAAATATGATAATCACAAAGGCAAACGGTTAATTTAATTTGAACCCCAAAGAAAATGTTCTCATTTAGCTGTCATGCAATTCACTTTTGCACGGCGTGAACCGGCCATACGTTGTCAATTACACAGAAGTGCGCGGATAACACGCGTCCATCCGTGTCCTGTTTGCGTTGGGCTTATTGTAACGATCGTCATATTTGCTTTGTGAGTGGAAGGATTAAGAGAGTTGCATAACAGGGTGAATAGAGTTAGTATACTATTCCATGTACTGTATGGGCATTTCCAACTTACTGCAATTTAAATAAACATGAAGAATGATATACTTCATCCTGCGGTACTGTACGTGTATACAGATGATTTAAAATAAGTTTTGCTGGCTGAAGAGTGGGAGGGACGGACGGATGGTCACGTGCAAAGGACGTGCGAGCTGCTGGTGATCAATTAAAATTAAATGGTTAATAAAACATACCTTTACAATGTTAAGCCGTTTATCAATCCACTGCCGGATATATAGATGCCTTCCCCGCGTGTGTCAGTTGTCGGGGTTATTTGATGATACGTCACCACGCTGGTCAGTGTGGGATGGTGAAGAAGCCCCTTGCCCCCCATCTCCTTTCACCAACCCGCACTGACCGGGGGGGTGGCGGGCAGTAGGACCGGTTTCGATATCAATCGCCGCTGACGTTAGCCGTGGCCGGGAATCGAACTCAGGACGCCTGGTTCGTAGCGCAGCGCGCGCCAACAAACCATTGCATCACCGCTTAAACATCCCACGTTCAACACACGGGACACAAGTATCCTGCACTTGCGTATTAAAACAGGCCACGTACTATCACCATCAATAGCCATGGTCAATCCACTGCTGGATGAATGCCTCCCAAAGCCGCTGTCATCTCGCGCGATGCAACACTCCGCAAGTCAGCACCTTCACGCCCGCTGACCCCTCTCGCCGCCTCGACGGAAGTCTCTCTTGCACGCACCGCAATCTTTGACCCCCGCTCCATCACTGCCAAGGCCGTAATTATAATATATTGGGGGGGGGGGCACATCCCCCCCCGCCCCCCAATATTCAAATATGCTCAAAATGTCCCCACCCAATATATTGCTATAAAATAGATTGTTTATATGATTGTGGTTATGGTTGTACTTTATTAATCCATAATCTCTGCCATTACATACAATGAAACAAGAAAAGAAGAAAAAAAACAGAGCAATGTAATACAATACACTATTAGACATTATTGTAAAAAAAAGAGTCCATCCTATGTGTTAGTGATTTTTTTTAGATTTAGGCAGGAAATTCGTTTTCAAATTAAGATTTTATTCTGGGGGGGGGGGGGGGGGGACCACAGACCCCCTTGAAGATTTGGTCCTCCCCAATGTTGACTCCATGGCTACGGCCTTGATCACTACCGTATTCTGAACCGTCGGTCATCGTCCCTTCTACGGATGTATGGGGCCCAAGCCCACTTTCCCTCTTACGTCTTCGACCCGTGTGTGATCTTGCCATCCACGCGGTGTTCCTCTATCTATATATCAATGGAATTGCGAGCAGGTGCTCGTTTACTGATGTGTGGAGACGGGGCGAGGGCGCACTTCCAATTAGCAGGGCTGGCCACGTACGGTGCGAAATAAGTTCAGCGTACGTACATACAGGTCAGCCCTATAGCTTGTACACTGTGATATAGCATGCACTCCGCGACAGTGCTTATCAGCGTGTATAGGTCCACTGCTGAATATACTCTCTGCACCATATGTAGGGTTACATCATAGCAATGGAATGGTGCACAATTCACACATTTACGAGCAGCGAACACTCTCTTGTACAAATCAAATCTGCCCGTTGTGGGTGTCGAACTTAGAAATTAAAGTAACCGACCGGATGCAATGCCACACCATCACGTACACGCAAAGCCCTGCAAATGCTCTCCACACTGCAGTATATGTACAGTACTTTGTAATATCATACCCATACTGTTAATGTCCACTTTCTGGAAGTCGACAAAGGTTGTCCTACACTTTAAATAAATAACGATTGACACATGCCTGACACGCGCCCGCCATAAGAATGTGTAATGACCACATAACTCGCAAAATAAGGAGATGTGCCCATCCACCCAGACAAGCAAAACAGCACGATGGCACATGGTGATAACCATCAATCGGAACTTACCTGTCTGGGACTGGGTCGTGCCAACCCACAGCACCAGGACAAGCGGCAGGAGGAGGAGGAGCGTGGCCAACCACCGGGGAAACCGTGGTCTCATTTCCACGCAGGGCATCGCGCCGGGGTCCGGAATACAACCCGACCTCGAGGGCAAGCGGCAGCAAGAGGCGGTGGTCAAGAGGAGAGAGAGGACGAGCGACGCTCGCCTCCGTGTCACGTCTGCATGGCAGCAGCAGCGGCAGCAGCGGCAGCCTCCTCCTCCTGGGGTGTTTGACAGCAGAGTGTAGCTCTCACTCCCAGCTGATCCAGCCTGATCCTCCTCCTCTACCACATCCACCACCGCCACCAACCACACACCCTCCCACTCACCCATCCACTCCCCACCTACCCACTCATCCCCCTCCCCTACCCCCACCACGGCCCCCGCCCAGCTACCCGCGCAAGCGCGTCTCCCCCTTGTTTATAACAAAACATTCAAGAGCGCAGCCTCAATCCCGCAAAGTGCTGCCTAAACAATTAACCAAAACACAAAATGACAGACAAAACCGATCAACGCAGCCAACGAAAACGATAGCGCTGTAATAATACAACTTAATAAGACACACACACATATATATTAATAAGTGGCGGTATTGCGTATCTCAAAAAAACAAACTCTACTATGGATTGCGTATCTCGTTGCGTGCGTTTAATCCGTTTTTACGCGATAACGCATTGCTTCGAGTAAACAACTCAAGGAGAATGCGAAGCGGATAGAGTTTGTGTTTTTTTCGGCGCAAGGAAGGCGGCACGCCGCACGTACACAGAGAGAATGAGCGCAGACGAAGCCCTCACTGCTGGCCTGCCGCTCCTCCTGCCCCAACCTCCTCCACCCATTGGCGTCACTGCGGTGGGTGCGGACCGCACCGGGTGACACCATCAGTGGGGATGACACCCAAAATAACTGTCTATACAATTTTTGTGCAGTGTTTCAGCAGTAATTAATTCCTTTTTTATATATATAAAAAATATCCCCGTGGTTAGTTATAACAACAATAACATTTTCCGTAAGCCCAGCTTACGTGTACTGTATCAATATACCTTTACAAGGCTACAACTCCATGTTAATTTAATTTTTGAACCTTCTAATGCGCTCCGGTCAGAGCTGTCATTGTTACCCAGTTACAACGACGATTCGAATCACGTGGTTTCGTCTGCACGCACGCGCTGTTGTTTTCGTTGCTGCTCGTGTTATTATAGTCGCTGATTTTGTCAAATTTGCTGGTGTTTTAGCTACAATATTATGGTAATTAGTATTTGTGAACCTACATCAATAACCTTTTTGAGAATGAAGTAGTAATTAAAGGAAATGTTGTAATTTAAAGGTGTAATTTTAATTCTGCTAGTTGTTTACGTCACTACTATTGCCATGACATTCATTGATATACTGGAATTACGATTTACGAGTAACATTAGTACAAAAAAAACATTACTAAGGATTCTGAATGGTCTGGTACGGGCCGAGATCCATGAGGGGTGACACCGTGAGTTACCCCACTGGGTGACACCAACCCGACTGACGCCACTGCCTCCACCACCACCAGCGGGGATTAGTACTCGCCTACCACCTCTCACCCCACCACCACTGCTTAGCACTACCACCGTTTATCCCAACCACCACTACTGCATGGTACTGTACCAACACTCCCCAACACCACCACCACCACCTCCTCCACTGTTTAGAACTACCCCACCACCACCCGTTGCCCCCACCACCACCTTCACCACCGCAAAGTACTAACACCCCGACCACTGTTATTCACGAGGCTGTACCACAAGTGCTTCAGGGTAGGAACAGCGACCCAGCCTCAAATCAGTCGGAAAACGAGGCATTGGCGAACCCAGCTGAGCTCTGAGCGTTTCACCCCCCCCCCTTTCCTTTCCCCTCGTGTGTTTTTTTCCTTCAACAGAGGTTCGTTAAAATCTGCAATTCCCATCCCTCTCCTCTCCCCCCAACAATATATTTCTGTGTTTCAGGCCCCTCTAAATGCCCTGTTGACTAATTACATGTTCTTCTGCTGTTAAGTCATGTTGCTTGCAATTCGCGCTTTTTCCCAAAACGAGTTATGTCCTCGTTATTATGCCGTGGCATATGCCGATATTGATCAAGTTGCACTTACAGTATATACCGCATTCGTAATATTCGTGTACGGTGTGGGATTAACATATTTTTTTCTCCTGAAGTATGCTATGCTGCAGCCATTAAACTCGTGTAAATGAAGGCAATGGCGACAACTAGTTAGCAATTAATTTACAAGCTGGTAATAAGTTAAATAGTAATTGTTGAAGTCAACGGTGATTATCCTCTGAAAGGACTTGCCTCGACCACCACCATCACAGGAATGTGGAATTTACACCCACTGGCTCAGGGGATGTGTAACTGGGAGATGAGTGGCACCTTGTGTTCTACGAAGTGGACATCTCATTCTGATCTCCTTTACTACATGGACATTACCCTGTCCCAGTGGCGCAGCAAGTGACGAGCGTGCGGGGAGTGCAACCGCACGGCGACCCACAGTCCAGACAGAGTCCAGCTGCCAGACCAGGCTGTAAGGAGGAGGGAAGATGGACAAGGGGCCTCATTTAATTACTGGTACCAGGACCCATGGGCCAACTCGGGTCTGCCACTGACTGTAACTATGCTAATTCCGTTTTTAAAAAGTTCCCCGTGGTGTTCACGATGGCTCTTGCCTAGTACTGTACACAAAAAAACCTAAACATCTGTAAACCATGATTGTAAATAGCCCACGATTATGTCAATCTGTGGAGTTGGTGTGTTGATTAAATAAATAAATGTACAGTATTCATCATTAAACGCACTTGTACATGATTGTATATATGACGGGAGGGGTGGTGTAGTGGGATACCATACTATGTTGTGAATCTACTGATCTGAGTTTGATTCTGATCCATGGCTAACATCAGTGGCCATTGATATCAGAACTCGTCCTGTCTCCACTCACCCTCCACAAGCCACAACGATCAGCTCGGTGAATTAAGGGCAATCAACCTCCATGACCATTCAGTAATGCCCGTTCCCGTTCTATCGCAATGTGCACTGATGCATACTTTATTGAGGGTGATATTGGCACGTAAAATAAGGATTGATTGAGCAATGGATGGACAATGGGCTGAAATGTACTTTTATTATATACATTAATTACACAACTAAAATGTGTAAAATGTATAGTGCTGACCAATACTTTTTTTTTAAGAAAATATTTACTTTTGATTTAAAGCTTTCGTGACTGCAGGGATTCATATTCTTGGTTCTTTCGGTAAAGTCACGTAGAAGGGAAACAATAAAATAATAAAAATATAAAACAATAAAAAAAATCTAATTTTCTTGCTGGGGTTTTCACACCGGATGATGACTGCTTGTGTTGCAGTCGAAACGTCGTGAGAATTTGATTGTTTTATATTTTTATTATTTTATTGTTTCCCTTCTACGTGACTTTACCGAAAGAACCAAAAATATTTACTCTTCTTGAAAAAGGCAATTTTACTGAGCCATCACCGTTCGTTCCTCTCATGAACAAAAAATGTTCCGATTTATTTTATGCTTAGCCTGCTCTGTATAGATCTTGCAAGAGAGCAATTAAAATTCAGAAACTTATTTCAAACAGAGCTCTTTTTTTTCTTGAAATACATACACATGATTGTAAACACACGCTGAGATACTCGTGTAACGTGTTTTCCATTTATGACCGTCTGCTCTAATCTCCGTGGCTCTAATAACGACTTCGCTTCGACTTAGCACATCTATCAGTTTTACTTTTAGTTCAACCCCTCCCACCACAACTCCTTCATGACATCTTTCTTGTGGTGCTAATGGGTTCCGTGTGCGCTCCTGCATGGGCGCGCGCGCCCATTGCCCCATGCTCCGCGCACATGAGACCTGGCAAGAGGGCATTTAGAGGTGGATGTCCCACCGGCCGTGGTGGCCGGGTGGTCCAGAGTGTCTATGAATATTGACCACGGCTTTAAATTTCAGTATCTGGCAGGACAGATATGTCCATATGCTGCATGCTTTCAGAAAAAAATGCCATTTGGAGGAACTCATTAATGTCAAGTTACACAAATTGTTCGAGAAATTGTACTCTTTTTTTTTACAACACGCCAATGATCGTTAGGTATGTAGAGATTATACAATGTCTGCATTCTATTATTGAAAGCGAGGAAGCCCGTTTTACCTGCGCAATGTAGGCTACTATATAGCCGAAGCCACACGCGCACAAAGAGATAAATTATAACGCTATCTTAATAGGCGTGAAATGGCTGTCATAGCACAATGTATCACGAATCCCAGGCCTGTTATGAAACACGTGTGAACACTCATCATCGGTCAAAGGCGCTGCTTGAAAGAGGACACTCGCTCCTCGCGCCGTAAGAACAAACACGCCAACCACCACGTGGGCCGTGCGCATTCTTCCACCGGCAATTGTAGGCAAGAGCTTCAGAAAAAAATAATGAAAGAATCATGCTTCCCCAAAAAGTTTTTCTTAGGAGACGTAAACTGAAATGGAGCAGGTGTAAAACTGTTCTCTAAGTATCTTAGTTCATAGTTCATTTATTTGGTATAGCCCTGTGAGCCATTCGGTTCTTGAATCGGGTTCAACCGCAACAAACAAAAAACATGAACAAGAAAACATCTTAAAGTGATTATGTGACTGTGCAAACAGAAAATACAGGAAAAAAATATCAAAATATTCCTGAAATAGCACCGTACACCAACGCTGTGTGCAAAAATCCCAGTGGGATGCAAGTCAAATAACAACAACAAGACAACTAAGATTAAGGCCATCAGTCTAACTCCGTACTACAATAAACAAAAACATGGGCAAAACAAACAAAACACTTTTCGAAATCACCAAAATAAAAGCCATAAATCCAATGTCCATCTAAAATGGGCAAAAGCAGCACGTTAAGAACATTTCTCAAAATCAGTCGCGGCGGTGAACGACAGCTTTCCGCAGCACCTGCGCAAGGTGTGGCACAATCTACACACATTTATAGGCAGGTGCCCTAAATACAGTGGCGTGCTTTAACAACAAAAACACATGCTGCTCGCCGCTTTTGGGATTTTTTTTTGTTAGCGTTGGACAAAACAGCTGTAGAGTTTTACATCTGCCGCCGAGATTTATCTAAGACACGCGTGAACAGTGTGTGACTTTTCGAGACGCACCGAGCACATAGTAAGGCAATGGGGAAAAAAAACAACCCACTCGGAAGACGATGTGTGACAAACACACTGGGTGGGGTGGGGGGTAACGGAAGAATGAGCGTGAGATCATCGTATGTGAAGGCGGTTAGTGCGAGTACTCGCTCT